GGAACCATTTCTCAACCCTATCTGACAATAGTAGCTGCGTACTGGTACTATCTCCCAGTTATACTCAATGAACACAGCAGGTTAAATCTTGTAAATCGGCACCAATGGCTCTGAAAGGAACCACTTGTTTTTTAAGAACATTCCAGCAGTCCACAAACACTGTTTTTTAGAGTGAAAACTGAACAATTACAGTAAGACTCTGTTTTGGTAAGAAAATAGGAAATGATGCTAAACAAAAGGGTATGTTTATTTAGAGATTCCAAGGCCATTAATTTATATTAAGTAACAGTTTGTGCTCGGAGACTAATCAGAGGGTGATGTGAATCATTGATCACAAACGAATTTTATAGATAAGGACCAAGTGCGGTGCTGGATGATTGTATTATATATTAACAACTTTCAGGGGCAGCTTTTGCTGATTCATTTGGCAGGAAGTGAGTCGCCAAGAGAGATTTCTAGGGAAGGAACAATCAACAATATTTTCATATTAAATAACCTCCAGTTACTGTATTGTTCTCACAACATTTGATAATGAATGCTTTCCTGTTAAAAAAAAAAAAAAAAAAAAAGTATGTATCACGAAAACAAAGGCAGATCTGGTTACATGGCTAAAAATACACAGACAGCTCGGCAAAGCCAGGGGAGGGGCTGATCAATTCAGAAATTGGGAAACTGGGAAGTGTGTGTTCCCTGTAAAGTTCCCTGTGAAGCCAGCGCATGGCAATTCATGATACATTAACAGCTATTCTTTTTTGAAGGAAAAAAGTTTGTCCTATTATCTACCTTCTCAGCAGAAAGCCCACAGCGTGGTGGAGTTAGGTCTGGGAGCAGGGCTTGCTTCCCATGAGCTCTGCGCCACACTTCAAATATTGCCCTGTAGTGCCACAGGGGTCACAGAAGTGCTAATTCGCAAGTCCTGTGCCACCCAGCCCAGGCCAAGGAGGTGTTGTCCACATTGCCAGCAGTGGTCATTTGACTTTCATAAATACTTTCATAGCTACCACTAATACAAACATTCATAGACTCTCAAATAACAACAATAATAATATAATGAGCTTGAATTACAGCTTGATCTGTGATGAACTGAGTCAGCTACAAATCCGTTCCCTCTAAAAAACAAATGGGAATGTGTGCTAGCAAATAGAGGAATAAAAGGTTCTGCAGTATCTAATTAGGAGGCTGGTCCCTTATGTCTCCTCTGCTTTCACAAGGAAACATTTAAAGAGAAAACACCTGCAAATGCTGTGTAAGTCACCAAACAGAGAAAGAAAGCAGAGGCTCTTATTGTAGGTACTGCTCCCGCTGGACAGCACTTAGATTTTTTCATGACCAATTGTGGAGGTCTTTAACAGCCTTCTCTCCTGCAAGATTTTCTGCAGTACCTGTCTTTTAGTGCATAGTAAGCTCAAGTGGTGTATGTTGGAAACAATCTTTATCAGAGTGACTTATAAAGATTTATGCAGAATAAGAAAGAAAGAAAATAAATCCAAATAAGTTTGATGCAGTACTTTGAAATTTTTTGGTTCAGTAACATTTTTTTTTTCTATACAATATGCCTAACTCTTCTCCAACTCAGGCAGTAATTATCAAGCAATATGAAAATACAGCACTGCAAAGGATAAGCATCATGAAATAGAAAATTCCCCTAATTTTTACCAAAAAGGACCACCTGATAAAATACTGAATATCAAAATCCTGTCATTTGAACAGTTAAAAAAAAAAAAAAAAAATCATATTACAGCATCTTGAATGTTGTGGTGAGTCAGCAAAATTCATTAATAGAACTGTAACCCAAAATCAAGATACAGCTTGTGCATTCAATATAAACAGAGACTGCACAGAACGATTTAAAACACCAGACAGGAATGCCAAATAAATACTTACTCTCTCACCTCTGCCAGTTGATCTCATCATGGGAATTCAAGCAGCACAGCTCCCAGTAACAACACATTACAAGATTTTGGCTGTCCTGATAACACAGCTCATCTAAATGACAGCTTAAACAACGTGTAGCTACAGTCTGCCTGAACCAGAAAGACGAGCTTAATTAACTAATCATGGCAAAATGCAGACAGGGGGAGCCTGAGAATTTCCTGGCTTGAGAATCAGTTGTTAAAATGTCTGTTAAAAAAAAAAAAAAAAAAAAAAGATACCCATAAGGAAATAAAATGCTTAATTTTGAAGAGGAACAAATTGCATTCAACAGAGTAAGTCCAAACAGTTATTTAGATCATATTTTCTCCTCTACATACAAAAATTTATGTAAGCCATAGAGAGGCTTTGGAAAAGATCTCAGGAAGTACCTATTCAGTGGAATTAATTAATAATAAAGGTGGAGATTTAACAGCCTCTTGTCTCCATTTACCCAGGAAAGCCAATAAAGATACATGGGCTGTGGTAAGAACAAAGCCAAAGCACTTGTCTGCCAAGCATTGCGCTAAGCAGTGAGGAGAACACTTTGAATACACCAATTCCTCCACACGTTAGCTAGACATACATTTATAAGACAGATCAACAAAAGAGACTTGCAAGATGTAACCCATGGAAAATATGGTGACACCCAATCAATACTGGTCAGATCTAGATCTGTGCTGAGTGTGCCAACAGGAAAGAAGTTAGAAAGCAAACAACTATCTGATAGAATTGATAATGAGTATTCATATTTTCATGCATTTTTATTACTAGTGTAAGATACAGTCCTACAGTCAGAAAAAAAAAAAAAAAGAAGTTAAATAAAGGATGGTTTTATATGTGTTACATATTTACATACTTTAATGTATTTAATAATTTATCAAACTTTTTTTTTTTTTTTTTTTTTTTCTGTTGACAAGCACGAGAGAAACATTTAACTGTGGTTGGTGTCACTTTCTAGCAAGACTTGCTTGCTTCATAATTTCAAGTAAAGGAGGAGGAGTCTTTCACAGTTAATCTCAGTGACTTGTAGTGCCTGGAGGTGCTGCCCCACCAGAAGAGAGAGAAAAAGTTGTTCAGACTTTTCATCAGCCGTTGCCTGTCACCCTCTCCCCCACCTACATAAGCCTTACATTTATGGTTCCGTTTTTCTCCTAAAGGACACATGTTTCATTCCGAGGTTATGAACACAGTGGGGTAAATTCTGCCAGCTGGAACTTTGCCTGCAGAATTTCCCCCCCATCTCTTCTTAAAGACCTTAGGGCAAAATTTCCTCACTTGAACACAGAGTAAGACTTCACATTTATATATATTTATATTTATATATTTATATATAAATACATTATACATTTATATTATTTATTATTTATATTATTTATATTATTATACATTTATAATACATTTATATTTATATATATATAAATGTGAAGTAAATATGTATATATACAAGATACATATATATATATATATGTATCTTAAATTCTTCAACTACAAACTTGTTTTCAAAAGACCTGCAGGTGTTTTCCTTGCCCTGCAGGAGCTGCTGGCAGGCTCACAGCCCACCACAGACAGCCCAGGAGCCATGGAAAGGAAAACCACTCCAGAGCTGTGGCCTTCACTCTGAATTTCCCTGGTTTGTGTATTTAACTCCGATGCTTAATGATTTTTTTAAATGTAGGTTTTGAGTCTGAATAGTACTTTAAGCACTAAACTGTCTCCTTAGTGTTTGGAGGGGATTAAGTTTAGAGTTCATTGTGTTGTCTGTCATTTTAAAAAGATTAGATAGTTCAGTTCGGCTCCTACTGGCACTGTAAAAGTCTCCGTATTTATTGACTGTCTGGAGTCATTATCAAAGCTTCTAAAACCAATCGACACCTTGTAAACAAAAATCCCATTATTTGATGATCTCGATAAGATTTACATGGTATCTGCACTTCTGTTATGATCGATCAAATTGTTAGAGACATTCTTACTGTAATAATTACAAGACAAGGAATTGCAAATTCAATTAGAAAATTAAGATTTACGCGGTTTTGAGAACACAAGTGAAGATAACACTTTGTGGTCTGTCAGGCATGATTAGCAGCTTTGGGTTTGGAATGGGAAGGTTCTGAGACTACAAGGGTTTCAAATTTTCTTTCAGCAGAATGATCCTTTCAGATGGAGGAAATGATATTTACACCTGGAGATTTGTGCCCTGACTCTTTGTACACTGATAGAGAGTATCACATAAAGGAATGTGAAGTACTAAAATATTACCATGTGGGTGTGGAGTAGGAAAGTTGCATAGCTTTGGACTATAGACATATTATTTTTAAACTGTATGAACTATTTATTTTTCAAATAGTATTGAAATCAGGTTGAATTAGAAGCCTAGCAATTGAAGAGGCATCCCTGAGATATTACAGGAGATTTTTGACTGATTTTAAGGCAGTACAGAGTGCTGCGTCAGGGCTGGCAGCTGAATAGTCCACAGCTGTAACTAGTACTGGGACAAGCAGTTCTGCTGACATGCCCACGACTAGCATTTGTAAGTCAGATGCTATAAATGCAGCAATGTATCTCTGAAATAAGACATCTTATTTCATGGTTGGTATTTAAAAGGTGATCCTTTGTAAAACTATAAAGAATAACTGACAGGCTGAGTTAAATTTAATTTGAGAAGTTTGGCATCTTTTTTTGCAATCATACTATCATAGCAATGTTATTTTTCACTGTGATTCAGACAGGAGATAAATTGAGGTACTTCAGAAGAGGCGAGACTTTTCTCTTACACTTAATGCTCTCATTGGTTATTAAAAAAGAAGTTTTGGAATGCACAACTTGTGCTTAGCACACCACAGAGAGTTCTGACAGACTGCTATTAAGAAAAGCCTGTTCCCATTGGATTCCAACTCCCATTGTGCAACAAGTCATTGTCCGCTGTGCTCCTTCTGACAGACTTCTGTTTGCTGACACTCACTAAATACTTGCTACTGCAGATGTTAATAAATCAAACCTGTTTGTTGAAACTTTGTATCTTGACAGTGCCAAGGTATCCTGTAATCTACAACAAAAGAATCAATAGAAACACATGAAAACTTTACCACTGTGGGACAATATTGATTTTTGTCTTAGAAATACTTGGCTCCAAATCATTAAAATCAATGGAAGTCTCACACTGACTTCATTTAGTTTGGGATCAGGTTTCCAGACTGATAGTTCCTCATGCAGTTATTGTTTCTTAAGTTTGCAGGTGTGGATTAGAACAGCACTTTCCAGACATAGCTGTGATGCAAAAAAGAGTAAGTCCTTGCCTTAGCAAAGTTAGCATAAATCCTTACCCTCACCACCATTCATTCAACCACAACTATGTCCCAAGGATGAGCTTAGTATATATTTATCTTAATAACCATTATTCCCATTACATATTTTCTAGGGAAATACAAATCAGATGCTCTTCATGACAGGCAGCCTGGTGTCTTGGTTCTTCAAATTTAAATCCTCCCCTATTTTGTTACACTTAAACACAAAGCATTAAGCAGTGTCCTTTCCCATTAGAATACTTTCTAGAAGAATTTGTAACCTTCAAGACAGAGGTCTGTGTAATGGGATTATAACCATAACAACTACACAATAGCATCATTAAAAGCACTTCACTTACATTTACTTTCCCGGTGCTTGAATTTATTGCTACACTGTAAAGTCTCTATTCAGGGAAAAGAAACCAAAAACGTTTAGCTCAATTTATGGAGCTGACTTTGCTCGAGAGAGATTAGAACTAAAATGATTTGAGATAGAATCAAAGAATTCCATCTTTTTAATTAGTCTGTTAAAGGCAGGAGCATCTAATACAAATATTTAACTCTGTTGTTGAGCACTACTGCCAAAGGCATCAAGAGGAAATTTATAGGGAGTTCTAAAGTCACTTGACAATGATTTTCTTGTGTTATGACTTCTCAAATTGCTGTTTATTGCCAATAGCACTACATTTCAGCATAAACAGGATTCATGGGATTAGTGCACTGTCCTGGTAAAGATGTTAAATCTTCACTTTGAATGAGCTACGGTAATTGAACTCCTTTCTTTTTGTGTAAGAAGTGCCTTTAAACAAGGTTAGCTATTTTTATACACACTAATGAATCACTAGCTAAAAAACCTTTTTGGTCAGATGCCAGGCTTGCCTTGTTACCTGCTGTTCTCAGTAAATATAATGCATAAGGTGAAGTGCGGGGTGGGGGAGGAAAGGAAATTACTACTTAATGTTCTAATAAGAAAGAAGACATTAAGCAATACTGGTTGCAATATTTCCGCATCAATAGAATTACACTTGTATAAGGGATAAAAGTCTCTTGCCCTCCTCAGAGGTAGCTAATTCAAGTCTGTCCAGTTTAGTATTTCAAACATTGCATGAACATTTTTTATGAGTTTGATTAACTCTCTATTTCTGTGATTGGACTGAGGCACAGAAAATCTTAGCAGACAGCTGGAGCCTGAAGTACCTCGCTGTTTTAAGAATAGTCCAATTCACCTGAAATTCTCTTTTCAAGAAGGGCTGAAGAGTTCTCACTGATTAATATTGGGATTCACTGTGTCAGAGCTCAAATGATTCCTAAACTTCTGAAAAAATAAGAGACTCAGATTCCCTGCCTGTTACTTCATCAGTCCACTCTGTTTCAAGATAACAAGCATTTTAAGTACAACACACTGCTTCTAATGTTAGAGTCTTCAAGTCCCATACCATAGACAGTCAGCATCCTCAGGATAGGTTTGGGACCATCTGGCTGAACCATTCACTTCTCTTTTCTTGGCTACAGGGGTCATCGCAGCACCACTTGCAGGCCAGTTTCCCAGGAGGATGAGCACACCATACCTATCAGCAGAAGCTTTCCTTCAGGGACATATGCATTTTGAAAGAAGAGAAATTAAAATGACAGATTATGCCATTTTATGTGCTGTTTTCAGCTAATGAAATATGGAACTTTGTTTTTGTGTCTTACCTCACAGCCTGAGTACAGCAACTCCCATTTCAGCATGGTATCAGAGGCTACATGTCTACTAGGAAACTAATCAGGGCTGGCACCCATTCTATGGCCAGGTCAGCAAATGGCATACATAGCACAGATCCAATCCACACAGCAAGCCAGTCACTCGTCTGGGATGGCCTCATCCTTCCTGACTGCTGGGAATGAGCTGGTGGCTTCTACCATGCCCTGAGACGTGCCCAAGCACGTGCCCAAGCCCAAGCAACAAGGACAGCTGGTTGTTAGGGCAAATACCAGAAGAGAGATGACAAAATAAAGCAGACATCCCAGCCCTGACGCTATTCCTTCTGTTCACCCATATAGATGCAGCCAGACAGACGACCACAGATGCTGTGGCCTACTTGGGGACCCAACTGCACCTGAGAGAGCATTACAACCACTATCCCTCACAAGTGTAAATTTTTCAAAGGGTCAGAAAGTCAGAGAAATCCCCAGACAGGCACCATTTCCCAAAGGCAAACGGGAAGAGGATTAGCTGGGGATGCACCCTCACGACACCTGGCCCTAAATATTCCACCAGACTAAGAACTTTCACAAGGTCCCAGCACAAAGTAAGAGGGCTCTCCTCGTTGCAGAGTTCTCCCAAAAAAGGAAAGGTTTGCCCAGGCTTATTTAGAATCCCCTCACAGCATCAAGAGAAGCCTGCAAGGTGGGTAGCAGGAAAGGGAGGTGGCTGCTCTTTTGGTGGGGAAACCAGGCCTGCACAGCAGCCCCCGCTCGCAGCCTCTGGGCCTGGCAGGGACTGCCCTGGGTGAGGAATTGCTTGGTTTACACAGTCTCAAAGCTTTGGCAACAGAAAAGCATTCTCCTTGCTGGGTTGCTTCCTAGAAGAAAAATAATGTGAAGCCATCTGATTATGTGCAACTGCCAGGAAGCTGCCAAGCAACTTTCGGATGCCTTTAGTAACCTTCCCTATAGCATGCAAGTTCATCAACATAAGACCCTAGGCACAAATAAAAGCTTTCATCATCTCTTTCTTCTTTTGGGAAGTGATTTCATCTCCTTCTTCCTTATTTTAATTCACAGATTTTGAGACAGAGAAATTTACATTTATTGGCCAATGATTTCATTTATTTAATTCTCGTTAACATAAATTCATATGTTTCTCAGAAGAAAAACATGAAAGCACTTGATCAAGTTTAGGAATGCCTGCTTAGCAAAGTAGAAACATCATATTCCTGATCTTCATTCTCTCTATGCTCCCTGTGACAATTCCACCTAAATTGCACTGCAACTGCAATTTTCTCTGCCATAACATTGTAACGACTTCACGAAAAATGGTGAATGATCGTTAAAGTTCATCCAAAGTATTTCACAAACACAGAAAAAATTTCAAGAGAAAACATTCAGATTACATTAGTAATATATCCAGTAGTTAATACTACTCTTCACCTGTCTAAAATGTCTTTTTTTTTTAATTACAATTCTCATAAAAATAAAAGCCTGTCTGGTTTTATGACAGCCAAATCAGTGACACTCTAGCAATGATTGATGCAACCACTAAGTCATGCATACAGATCCCAGATTTTTCAGTACTCATTGAATGTTTCTTTTCATATGTGAGAGTTTATATAATTTTTCCCCGTCTGAATACCACAGTGTAACAGAATCAATTTTCAAACTCAGAAAGAGAACTTCACACATATTTTCAAATGCATTAAAGCATCTATCAGTAAGAATTAAACTGTTCTACTTTCAAAAGGTTAGGAATGGATTCTCACAGGCAGGCTACAGAGTATACAAGGGGCAGACCTCTCTTAGATGAGAACAGGACAGTTCCACTATGCTATAGTTCATTACAGGTATCTAGTGGGCATATTTTCATTTGCTTTTAATGTCATACTTGATCACAGTTGTGCTGTGGAAAATAGGGAAAAGAGGAAGTCCTGCACCAGATATAATGAAGCATAAGAGAAGACAATTGCATCACTCTGACTGATGCAGTTTGTATCTACCTTTTACTACAAAAATGGTAAAGCAGACTTGGTGAAATATTCCTCATTGAATTTTCTAATTAATTTAAGAGCCAACCTAATCAATCATCCATTGACTAGTGCCAATAATTCAGAGATGGAGATAATGAGTTGTTTATAGCATTTGTGCAGCTAACCAAGACTAACCTACACAACCAGCCACTTGTGGTTAAAGTTCTAGGAGGTAAGAGGTCACTAGACACTCCCAGTTTCTAAAGTTCTAGACAGGCGGTTCAGAGGGGAGCGTATAGCAGAATCATGGCTTTTATAGTCAGGAGATTTTTACTTACAAGCTAGAAGTACAGAGATCTACTCTAAAGTGAGAAGAACCAAAACCACCATTCACCCCCCCAAAAAAATAACCATCACCAAATCAGCTTTCCATCTCAGCCCCTTAGAACAGCTCTGAAAGATTTTGAAACAATGGTTGAGGTGAAGAACAATTATGTGCTACCAACAGAAACTCCTTTGACATCAGAAAACAACAAAAATTTCATAGATCAGATTCTACATAGCTATACAGAGTATGTATATTCTTCTGTCCTTAAGAATAGAACGGACCCATCTAAATCAAATACATAGTTCACTGTGTAAAGACTTAAGGACACTAATTTACTCAGATAATGGTTACTATCAAGGTCTCTAGAAGTATGCAACTGAACTTGAATTCTTTAAAATTGTACTGTATTTGATATTAAATCCTCTCTTGGAAAGTCATCCATTATTTAATCCAAGCAGCTATTTTGAAAACTGTGCCTAGATAACATAATCTATCACACACAAAAACAGCTTGGATATGCTTTTAAAAGCCTTTTGTCAATTATATATGTCAGCAACACAGTAACCAGTAATCACAACTGCCCTTGGCAAACATTCTTTTAAGAACTATAAATGTGCCAAACACTGCAAGCTGCATCTTCTTACTCCAACTCCTTTACTTACTCAGCTGCTGGATTTCTTAAAACTTCCAAAGCAGCCAGTGCCAATTCCAGTTCTTAGCTTATGCATATTAGTTAGTGAGTTTTTTAGATTTCCAATTATCTTTAAGTTCAAAACAATTTTTTATTAATTCTTAGAACATACTGAAATGACAATGTCATTGAGTTCAACTTCAGGTGTTCTTTTGGATTGTAGATGGACTTCGTGAGACCTTTTGATGTAAAAGCACAAGGTATCATGGAAAAAAAAATAATAAAAGGGGAATAGCAAAATATCTGTATCATCATAGTATAATTACCTAAGTATGTAGTTATGATTAAAGAGACAGCTAACTCTGTGTAACGACAAAAAAAACATGTGCCTTTCAGTGCATATAAACCTACTTAAAGAAGAGCTGCTATTTGCTTGAGAATAAATTTAAGAGCCTAGAATCTTGCTAAGCAAAATAGAGAAGCAAATATGTAAATGAACTACTACATAATTGATACTTGATGATGTTTTCATAGCATTTAATACTTGTCATTTTTTGATCAGGCATCTGACAGCTGCTCAGGAAGCTGTGATTAAATTTTTCTTGGGAATCTAATTGCTTATAAAGCTTTTTTTTACAGTGTATTTTGCAGAGCACTACATTATAAATAATCTTATTTATATAGTTTGCATTTCTAATCATTGGCAAGTATACAAAATTCAGGATTAATTTGTGTGTGTGCTTATTTAGCCCCTTCAAAAATTTGACTTATAAAATCTTGCAACATAATCAAAGAGCCCAATCATGAAAAGGGATACTGTATTATTAACTAATTGTCTACACTTACCTATAGTGATATGATGAGTTTTATCATTGCCTTTTAATATATTTTGACTGAAGCAGCATCATGGGATGTGGTCTTAATGCAATAGCTGCCAGCTCTCATGACACTGAAGAGTCCTCAGCACCCGGCCGTGTGCTGCACATATTCTGCTCACTTTCTTAATTTAAGGGCATGAAGAGGAAAACCCCTTTTATTAAGGCTGACAGATGAATTCAATCACCATTTCCCAGTCAAACAGGCATAGTCTTCAGATCATTAACTGGAGTTGGTTAGACTCGTGGCTGCCTTCAGATGAAGTCAATCCTCTTAAATACACCTTGCTCCCGTTCATCTAGGAATAAAGTTTTATATGTGCAGAAGAATCAGAGAGGGTCACCAGGAACTGAACATGTGAGATACTGTTGATCCACCGGGCCAGGATCTAAGCTTAAACTGATCAAAGTCAAATCCTTCCTTCCTTGCTCAAATACATTGTCATAAATACATTACATACTTGCACTGCCTACTAAGTCACACTACTAAATAAAGCATTACTATGCTTATAGCAAAAGATTTGCTAACTTTCAGGTCTCAAAAAGAAAAGAAAAAAAAAAAGAAAGAAGTTAAGAATGTCTTAGTGAGAATAGAAAGCCTTCAGGAATTCTCTGTAAAACACTACTGGATGATCTGTCCCACCCCTCAAGTTCCAGGTTAGCTGCTCAGGAGCAACACCGCCACAGCAAGCACATCCAGAGCTGCTGGGAACGGGCTGGTGCATGTGTCCAGGAACAAACACAGCAGCTTGTCATCAGGTTAAAACAAGATAAAGATAATGACTTGAGAAACAAAGACAAATGTGGCATGACAGCAATTTACTGTTATTCTAAAAGAGCCTGTATTCACAAACGATCCCTATAGCATCTGAGCATCACAGAAACACAAATGAACATATTGCTGCCCTCTTAAGTAAGGAAATATGAACTGCTTCACAGGTGGGATATTGAAGCACAGACTTAATTAGCTACATGACTTACATAACAATTTTAAACTGAAAACAAGTGGCAAAGCAGAAAATTGAATCCATGTTTCCTAAATACCAGCTCAGAGCCTTCAACAAAAGAACACTCATCCTGTGCAAAACTGGGTGCATATTTCTAGTACTTCCAGGTGGAAGTACACCAACAAAAAAAATGAAGTGGAGAAGAGTATGAAAAAATGAAACAAAAGCAAGCGTTACCAAAGTTTGTATGTATGTTTTTGGGTTTTTGTTCTGTTTTGTTTCATTTGTTTTTTGTTTTTACAGCCTCAAACTTGGTTTAAATTGATGGTAAGTCTCTATAATTTTTTTCCAAAGCAAGCCTATGTCTGCAGAAAAGCCTAGGAGTTGCAATCTGAATTTTATTTTTAAAGCAGTTTAATGACTATATCTAGAAATACAAAAGAGAGGAAAACAGTTTGAAAGTTAGACAGGGTTCAATTTTATGGATGAGCGCAGTCTCATAGGAATTTATTGCCTAAAATGTGGGATCTTCTGTTTCCTCAATCCCTCCCTGAACTGAATCAAGAAATGAGAATGAAAGAAAATAAACCATTTTTCAGACTTCTACTATCATGGCTGTGCAAATGTTGTATTCTTCTGAACAGATAAAAATTCTGTGGGGCAGAGAAGCTCACCTCTGACAGTCATTGAGTTCAGACCTGATCAAGCATAAAAACATGGTCACAAACATAGCTGATTGACCAAGATATTCATCAGTTAAGCAAACAAACAAACAAACGATCTTGAAGAAAGACTGCGTGCAATGCTTAGTGTCATGCAACCCTGCATTTCCCTAAAAAACAGATTCACCATCTATTGAAAACACATCCAAAAGCTTACAACATTTGTACAGAAGCTTGTTTGCAACCTATAGCATAATTACTTCAGCTTCCAAAAGGCGAAAAGTGGTCAAGGTAGGTGTTGCTTTTCAGTTTGGCACCAGGCTCCCAACAAGAGGAAAACAACCTAACAAGACAAAAACAGCTTGTGGTAAATATAATAGCTGGTTGCCTGAACAATAGCAATTAGGACAACAGCCTAAATCCTGTGGTGTCTCTGGAAAATGCGTGAATGATCTTGCTAGTCTGCTGATAAAGAGTTTAAATTAACATGCATTAGCATCCCTAGGAGTCCCAGAGCAGACCCAAAATGAGAAATTGTTCAACTGGTGGTTTTTAGTAAAGCAGAACTTTAAATTTTTCATTGTTTTATGTGTGCTCTTGAGTGTGGCCTCAAGGACAGAGGTCCAAAATGGGCATTTAGGGGGTTGGAGGAAGGTCAGGAGCAAGTGGGAGAAGTAACAGGTAGAAGGAATTCTGTTTAAAAAGTCTTGCCCTAACTGGATAAGGGAATTTATTAATTCAGTTGATTCAACTTTTCCTGCTCATTAGAAACCATACACCGTAGACTGTTATGAGAGGTGCACCCTTCCAATGTCTCCAGTGGCACAGTGTTCCACCACCTACTAGAACATGTAATATTTTGTACTATACATGTATGTTAATCAGTACATTTATGAACATCTGCATTTGAAATAGCAAAGAAAGGTCAACCTTTTCTAAACAGTAACTGCAAACACTCCCCCTTTTCACACACCAAATCCAAAAAAGCTTTTTGAGTGCACTTTTAGGTTGGTGCGATATTCCACAAAGCAGAACTACACAAAACTTCCAGTTTTCACAGTGTAAATGTCTACGTGTGAAGTGCTGTATGACTGATTCATATCTACAAACTTGACTCAGAGCACTGATTATCCATATTGAGTAACTAAAGCCATTTTCCCTCCACTACCACAGTGAAAATTGAGGCATTCCTCATAAGGCAACTTTCTTCAAAATATAGTTATTTTCAAAGTGGAAGAATTTCAGACTGGCATGACAGTTGAGATCGAATCCTGACTTTCATTTTTGCTGTATAATCAAATTGAAAGAGAAGAGGAAGAAAGTTTGGCTTTAGTTAAACAAACAAACCCTCACTTTTGAGAAATGTCTTGTTTTCTGCTTGCAACTTAAAGCTCTGACAAAACTCAAGATCAAAGCCCAGAGCAGTATGTCCTACGTCCTCAGAAAATTTCCTTAGCTACACCAAGTGACTGGTAGGGCTTATACAGCCTCTTCTGTGGGAAACACAGTCGGAGGAAGGAATTGACGACGAGCAGACAACAAAACACCTCTCGGGTTTCCTTGGCATGACAAGGCAGATTGGCCAGCGATGGAATAAGAAATGCATTATTTCAGTTCACTGAAGGACCTTCAGAAAAGGATCATAGAATGATTTGGGTTGGAAAGGACCTCAAACCCTCTCTAATCATCTGCACAGGTTCAGCCTCTGTACCTCCCTTCTATCTCTAGGACATCTTCTCTCTGATCACAACACTGGCTCCTACAGCAGTTGTTTGATGTAGTTTGGAGTAATCTGTGGGCTGATGAACATTTAAAATGAGGAAGAAAAAAAAAAAGGAAAAAGTTGTTTTATGTTATATTGACATATTATTTCACAAGTAAGAAAGATAGCAGACATTATTTACTGCCAAATATATATATATATTTAACAGATGTTAGTAAGCAGCAAGAGTGTTACATCATGAATCTGAGGGCAGATACCAACATAAAATTCACATTCTCAGTTTTGCATCACCTGTGTCATTAAAACACACACCTTAAGCACAAGGGAAGGGGCAGAAATGGGTATTGGGTTCCACAGCAAACAGACATTTACGAGCCACCATGAAAGCAGCCTGTGCTGAGTAAAAAGGCCAATATAAACAAATCAGATACACAAGGGGCGTGGAAGAGAGTGGTATTGAAACCCAGAGTCAGCACAGAGGAGCTGTTGCTCAGAAGAGAAGTATTGCTACACAGTTTGAATAGGCTTCCTGTGGCTGTCCATGAAGACTAACATCTGGCAAGGCAGCCTGCTGTACTGAAGAGGGAACTCCTTTATCAATGCTACAGAAAATAGAAACAGCCGCAAAGGTGGGAGAGCAGGTTCACAAGCCCTAGCTGAGCTTTTACTGCTGCTCTTACACCCTTGGACATGGTATCTCAATCTTTTTTGACACACAATTCTGTGGGTAGCCTCATCTCATATCAGATTTTCTCAAGTCGACTAAAACATACGAATTCAAAGCTCTAAAGGGTGTTTTTGCAATGCAAGCATGCATAGCACTAACTTCTACCAAGTGAATCTCTTTTGAGTTTGGCTTATAGTGTACAATTAAAAAAAAAAAACAAGTAATATTTTGGTTTTTCAACATAGTTTACATAGTAAAAACAGGCAAACCATGTCACTTTTTAAAAAAGTGATAAATTTAAAAACAAGAAGTGAAACAGTGCAGATACCTGAAACTACACCAATTCTGCTTGCTTTGCTACACTACCAACAGAAATAGCTCTGTCCTGTTTAGATAGACTTTGTTTTGTTACATGACTGCATATGCAGCGAAGTGATATCAAGTCCTGAGGGTCCACTCCTTTGATGAGTTAAGCACACAAAGGCCCACATTTTGATGCAATCTGATATCATATATTTAAGTCCTAGACAAACTGCAACTGTGAGGAAGTGATAAACAGAACTTCCTGCACAAAGCTGCCTGAGATAACACTTTCCATGGACTGGAAAAAAAGAGACATGATTGCTACAGAACTAAAAGGGAACTGTTCTGCTCTTAATAAATAACCCTTTCTTTTTCACGTGGCTATTGCAAAAGCCAAGGCACAAGTGACTAAGATTCAGCAAGCAGCTGAGTGGTGCTACTCACACATTTCTGAAGTGATTCTTTGAGGAACTACGGCCAACTTTTTGCTCTTCAGAGACGTGTTCTCCTGAAAACTCCTATGCTGCAGCTGGAGGCTTGCAACTCAGAAACCATCCAGCTAGTAATATTCTTACTTACATTTAAAAAAAAAAAAAATCTCTGAAGGAAGCCAACCACAAAATGTTTAACTCATAAGGAGGAATAAAGAGTAACTGCTTAAAGAATAAGTCTATGTTGCCTCCAGTGTAGGAAAAATCCTGTAGAAAACATGACGTGTTCCCACAGTTTCCCCTCAATTTTTCACCAGCATCAACTCAAAATGCAAGAAATTTAATATATTTATAATTGCTTTGATTTTACTTTGTGAATATTTGAGCAGCTGAATTTTCCTCACAGTAGAGCTTGTGGGGGAAACGAGCTTCAACTTGTTCTGGTATAAAGAATCTTTGAGAATTTTTGCCTTGAAGCCGTTATTCTTTTTCTTTCATTTACTTCTGTGCACATCTTGCTATATTTTCAGCTCATATTGTTTTTTCAAAAGCACAGGCTGTGTAACCAGTCCAGAGAGAAGCAACTGCAGCATATTAAAAAGCAATCAAGCGCTACCAATAGCTGAAGAGTTTTACAACTTCTGCTTCTGTTGCAAATTTATGAAGTAATAGGGGAAACACAACGACAGGCTAAACTAATGCAACAGCTCTGTGGCGATATTCCCAGAGATCTGCCCTGCACTGTGTTCCTGAACACATAAAGAGTCCTAGAGTGAGCATTGCTTCTGGTCCCATTGGACTCTGTGTATTGGGGATCAGACCTAAAGCTGACCATGAAGCATGCACCAAGCTTATGATCTCATCACTGTTGAAGCTGCCATTAGCGTGCTTGTGCTGAGCCTGAGCAAACCAAGACAGAGCCACAGATAACTCCAAGTTATTACATATATCACCAAAACTCTTTAAAAGAGTTTTTCTAAGTGGATCGTTTCACCAGTCTGAGTTAGATCACAACCATGGCAGCAATCTGTATGGCAGGCAGAAAAAGAACAGGAGAATCAGATTTGCCCCTGAAGAAACTGTAAGTGGGAACACAACCCAGCAAATGCTAATGACTATGCAACCAGAGTAATATACTGCAGAAAATCCCAAGCCTTAAACTGAAATCTTTCACACCCTCAATAGATTCACCATAGCAGGAGCTAGTTTTCTGGATAGCCTCTTTGTTGTATACTTGAGAAAAGAACCAAAAGTTGTGGCTATGTGCTCTCTATTCTTTAGGAGATAACAACTGCCATGGTGACAGCAACAGGTTAAATAAAGTAAAGTAAGCAAACGAAAAAATAAACACGCTTGCCAATTCTGTCCTACTTTCATTCCTTCTACAGTATCTTGCGAATACTGAGAGAGTTTGTAATTAAAAATTGTTTGCTTTACCTTTAATCTTCTAACTTTGTTAGTTTTACTCTGAGCATTTGTACATTCCCACCCCTCAGAGCGATACCTCCAGCAGGTGAGTTAATATAAATCAGTTGGACAGCAATTTGCCTTTTTCAGGTACGAGATGTTACTGAATTACTAAACACAGTTCATGAGCTCATGGGCTTCTTGTTCACTTGGGAATTATGGTAGAAAGTCATTGAACAAACATTTTTATCATTATCAGAAAGTTTCATTCTCATTACATTGAGTTATCTTGAAAGCACTATTCAGTACAACATTTGAGTAACTAGTTTATTGTTACTGAGATAGCCTGGTGATAGGCACCTTAGGAAAAAAAAAAAAACCACAAAACTGGAGCAGTAGACCAAACCAGAAGCAGCAAATGCCCTCAGTCTCCTCCTCTTTTAATACAAATATAATTGAAAACCTTCACAGTGGCAGCAATCTCGTAATGGGATTGAGTTCTCTATCTCAGCTATGGATTAATTATTGATTTTTCATTTGCAAAAACAATTCAGCAAAGCAGACACTTGTGACTGCACAGCGTGCTCATATGATGTGAATCAGTGGACAGAGGAGACTTGTGCGTCAGCAACTAAATCTTAAAACAAATAGAATGTCACTTAAATAGTGCAAAAATAACAAATAAGAAACTATTTGATTTTTAGCATTGCTAATGGGATACTGTGCCAACTTTGCTCTGCCTAACAAGTCTCAAGAAGCTTCTCCTGGGAATGTTTACATTGTGTTTCTATCCAGGCCTCATATTTGCTTTGAATTGTGACAACAGTTTGACCGTTTTCATGTTAAAAGCTTCCTGCCTTTGTCATGAAAAGGGCTTTTCATCAATATCTGTAGACAACAGTCAAAACAGGAATTCAGGAATACTGCTGCAAACTGTGAGGACATATCTGGAAACGCTTGTTCCCCAGTACCACGTCCACAGCACCCCCTGAGCACAGCTTCAGCATGTGCTGGGACCATGAGCCATACCAAGAACGAAGTAAGAGAGCCTTGGGGCCCAAATCCAACTGCTGCTGCCTGCTTGGAAGGAGGTAGGGTGAGCAGGTGGTGCTGCAGGAGCCTGAAAACAAAGGACAGAGGAAGCATGGAGAGGGACCTAGAGCAGAAGGACAGGAGGAGAAGGATCTCTCATTCCAACCCATTTTGGCCAATGTTTGTAGTTATTAAGAGTTATGTTCGGGGTATAGCCTGAGGAATTCAGGATGAACAGTGGGATCTGCCCCATTAACCGTAAGTACACTTTTCAGAGCCCCTGAGAATGTGGGAGTAGTGAAAATAATACAAAGTCAGCTATGCTGGCAGTTACAGAAGGTATTTCTGCATTTAAAACGTTCAAAAATTATCCTTTTTCTGGTATAATAGATGAAGAATATTGGCAAGAACACTCACATCTTGTTAAGGTATGAAAAGTAATCAGTACAAAACATTTCAAAGAAGTCTCTATGCCTATAACATGTACCATACATACACGTGTATGCACATGTGAAAATTTCATCACATACATCTGATATTAGTCTGTGTGGGTTTTGATGTTTCTCATTTAACATTGCAGAACAACTTAGAATTTTCACCACTCCCAAGTCAAATAAATTATTTATGTCAAAGGAACTTGGAATATAATACCTCCCACCTATGTGAAACTCTGCATAAAGGTAAGACCACGTACGAGACCAAAATAAAAACTGGTCAGGCAGAAGTCTCAGTGTCTTTCTCTGGAAGAATTATTTACCTCAAAATTTTAGAGCACTGTAGAGAAATCGGAAAGTCTGATTCGCATCTCAGATTGTCTTAGTTGAGTAATGAATAGCCTGAACTTCCTTTTTTTTTTTTTTCTTCTTCAGTGTAGTCAAATAATGATTATGCAAAGTGTACAATTCTAAACAGCTAATTAAACAGCAGCCCCGAATCTTTACAGCTGAATAAGCTGCTTTAAAAAAAAAAAAAAAAAAAAAAGCCAGAAACAGTGCTACTTGTATAACTTCTTCTAAAAAACAGGACCAGCTACTTGTAGTTGTTCACCTCTCCACACATTTTACCTGAGCAAATAGTCACCACCTACAAGACTCTGAGCATTTTTCTATTAGAGCATTTTCCATTTGAAGGTTTCAGGGAAGGTACTCTATTTTTTAATGGAAGCCATCAAGAAAGTAAAAAGAGTAATGTAAACAACTGCAATAGATACCAGAGAGCCAAGATGCATCTTCACTCAGAATGAAAGCATAACCAAATTACATAGTACCAAAGAGACAAGAAAGCCTTACCCTTTTCCAATGGCAATTTTAGAACAGCCTTCAAGTCAATTGTGCCTTATTCCCAGCAGATAAATACAGGAACTTATGCAATATATTTATTCCCATTTAACTAAGATTCGTACACTTCGAGACTCGTGGCAATATCTCCCAATAGCTACTAAGTAAAAGGCTGCTTTTTGAACACTGTCCTTGAGTTAAGCTTGACACCTGGGATTATATAATTGCAGCAGCCTTATAGTGCAACAGCAGAAACATCCTCCAAAATCAGTGCATCTGTCTGCAGTTCGTAAGCAGTGATCTTGACAGTTACTACAGTCTACTCTGGTACAAACAAAAGCAGTAGCAGGAGTTATTTTAATGCCTATTTGAAAAGTTCTGTGATCTTCTGGACATCCATTAGTCAAGCATCATTTCTTCAAAGTTCATTAAAAAAACAACCACATGTTGCGATAAGAGTCACCTTTCAGTAGTTTGTAGTACTTTTTTTTTTTTTGAAACCTGGAGAGAACCTGAAATAAAACAATTCTCATTCAAGCACCACATTAGTCCAGTCACAGAAGGTTGGCTCCTCAACAATGTAATTTAATGCCTTTAGCTGCTCTTTATACACTCTAATGGATGTCCTTAACTATGAAAAAACAGACATGGATACCTATGAACTGTTTTAGTAGGAGCAGCACCCATGATAGCATTTTAATCAGATGTGGAGCTGTTTCTCTTTCTAGTTTACTGTAGACAGTTGCATTTAAACTTGAACTCTGAACAAAGTTATCAGGCACCTAAAGAATGAAGCATTTTGTCTATAAACGTATAGGAGCAATATTTGACTCATATGGAAAAAAAAAATAAACAACATAAAACCTTACTTTGTTAGGAAATACTTGTTAATATCTTATTTGGATTTGGACACCATCTTCTTAAACCCATCATAACAATTTCATTTTCAGAAACGTTTTAACATTTAATTTTTTGTCCACATTTGCATATACTTAGTGGTGCATATCACTTATTACTTTTGGGATATACAGGAAAAATAATCAAAATATGAAAGCATGAGGTGATTTAGAAATAACAAAGACAGCGTAAAGCTTTTCATATCTTTTATGACATCAGTGCTACTTTGTGCAATGGGATCAAATATCAGATTTGTACTCTGACAGCCAGCTGACTCAAGTACTTAGTATTTATTGTCCTGTTATCTCTAAGTGGGCTCCTCAACAGCAGAGAAAACTATGTGAGACATTCTTGAGACTGTGTTTGACTAACTTGCTTGCCTATGTCTCCAGGGTGTTAAGTGAAGTCTGTCACTATCCCAGAAAAGTTATTTAGCTCCTCAGCTTTCACAAACTTATATATCCTCATTATCTGCCATTTCACTTGAGGATTGCAGAAGACCTAAGCCATAGCAGCTAATGAGTTTATGCAGAGCAGAGGGATGAGGTGCCAAGCTTGCTCTTCCCCTGAAAAACCATCACTCAGGTGTGGATACAAAGATGGCTGTCAGAGCATAATCTGGACATAGTTTTTCCACTAATTCAAACCACTTCATCAGAAAAAGGCTGATTAGAGGATTTCTGCAAATTGTTGTTTCCTGAGACACCGATTTTCAGGTCACAAAACTTTCATCACAGGCAAAATTCAGTGTTAAAGAGCATGGTTAACTGGAGCATCATGAGGTTACACAGGTCACAGCGCTCACTGATGTTACTTACCAATCTCTGGAGATGCACTGTTGAAACTTATGCTTCCTGAAAATGTTGGCTAGTGCGCAGAGATGCTGTGGCTGAAAGGAGCAGCTTTGCCATTGTTCAGGTGTGTGATCTTACTGCATCTCTGAGAGTGAGCAGCCATGAAACCACATGACCAGTTAGATCAGGAAACTTCAGCTGAAATTAACCTGAAAAAAAAAACACAAATAAAGTGGTTAGTTTTCACTAGCATGAGTTATCACAAAGTATATGGAGACAGTGACTGGGGAGAGAAGAACCAGAAAATCCCTTTTGACTGCAAAATGTCTTACAGCAATGCCAGAACAATTGGAAATGGATTGTAAGCTACCACAAGCTAGTAGGAGCATTTGCAAGAATATAGAACTGGGCTGTTTAGAAATAATATACTGGCCATATGCTTCTACATTGTTTCCTGATGAGGATTCTAAAAGCTCAGTGAAGCTCGCAAACAGCTCCTTGGTAAATATCATCACTCCAGCTTTACAGGAATGAAACTAAGGGTGAAACACGGGCTATTTATTTGAAACAAAAAGCAAGTTTGTGGAAGACAAATGGAAACAAAAAAATCAAAAACAGCAATTCTTGTTTCCCATCACTATGTTAATCAATATACCAAGTGTGACCAACTTGCGGAACATTAAGAAATGCCCCCCTGAGTATTTGCTATGAGTTAGGCAAATGAGCAGCTGTGTCACCACACCAGCACTCACATGGCTGCACTGAACAGCACATCCCACAGTGGCTGGTGAGCTGAAAGCCCAGAGGGGAAAAGACAGGAACAGAGGAGGGAAGGCAAATCAGGAAAGACACAGGACAGGAATTAGACATGGAAATGAAACCAAAAGATTTAACAGCAGGTTCTCAGATGTTGACGAGCTTGCACAGGATCTTCCTTGTCATGAGATTTAGAAGGGAGCCACTGGTTATTGTGTTGTCTGTCAGCAAGTCAATAAGAATGTGTATCGGCCCATGTGCCTACTGCTTGGTTATAAGAGGGAAAAAAATAATACTACCAAACTAATACTATTGGAGAAGGAAAAGAGATTTTACTTTACTCCACTTCAAAAACAACACATTACATAGTGATAAAATGATCTTTTTCCCTTCTTCAGAGCTTGTACGAAGCCATGCAAAAATATATATTGTAGACTCTGGCATTTCCTTAAGCATTATACACAAATGTAAAACACTGCTTTCTCTATAGAGTAACAGAAAACAGATTAACACAATTTGAAATGGTTCCTAACTCTGACGTTCCTTTACACCACTTTGGATTTGCACAAATGATGGCAGAAGATGTGGGGCAATGGATATTCATACCTCACCTGTTTATGTTGCAGATGCTAGTTGGCTGTTAAGTATTTTTATCTTGTGGTTTTATAGCCTCCTCTACAACAAATGAGCAAGAAGCCTCTGTCCTCAAAACCATGAAGACTGGAGAGTTTGCACAGGCCTATGAAAGATAGCAAGATCTGATGAGCACACAGCAAACAGGTCCACCAAGTAAGATTCAGTATGTACTGACTCGTTTTCATCTGTCTTACATATTAAAAATCTTGTTTATAAAGTGATCTTTTCTGAGTTAGAGAAGTCAACTTGACTTAAATTGTAGTAAATTCTATTTTAACCTCTTCAATATTTCTAGTTGCAGTGCAAATATACTCAATTTTAAAGAGGCCCAAACTCTTCCTTCAGTAAGCTACAAATGAACCATGTTTTTTTCCTCCAGACCTTAGGTGGTCTCTACTGCTCACTTAAAAAAGAAACCACAGAATTCATTACAGGAGAGTCTTGGGAAGAATTGAAGGTTATAAACCCAGCTGCCATCCAGCTCCTTCCCCTCACACTGGGGACAGATCTGAAGTGATTTAATTTCCCTGGCATTTACTGTTTGCTGTGCATGAGCAGACAGGTCTACTCCAATATGAGCACTAGGGAGCCAGAAGATATTCCAGATATCTGGCCCAGCTAACTATCCAGCCCATTATGTGCACAGGCTTATTTCTTCTTCCTCTCCTCAGAAGCATTTCTAACCACAAACAGAAGAGCTGTTTCATTGAGGTAGGCAGCCAAGAGGTTCTCAGCGAGGAAATGGCAGGGCAATAGCGGCAGTCACTGCCACAGGACAAGCCTGTGGGCTCTGGCAGGGCCGTGCACCAAGGCTTCTGCTCAGCTGCTGCAGAGGAGCTCTCTCAGTGGCATGCAGATCTGTGATCAGTTGTTAAGTGTCAGCAGAAGCCCTGGGAAAGGGAATTAGGTGGCAGTGGTGACAAGGATGGGACAGAAGCTTTATAGAGGAGAAGGGTGTCCTGAGAAGATATCAGTCCTTCAGTGTTTCACAGACTCCAAGGAAATATCAGTCTAGAAATTCTAATCAAGGAAGCATCTGGATATCTACTTTTAATGCCTTTCCCAACCAGCTGCTTTGCCAACTGCTTCCTCTCCATTCCTACACCAGGACATGCATTTAACTGATCTGTGACATTTAGACAAAATAAGGTCATAAAAGGGAGTTGGGCAATGTTAAAGCCATTTGCCAGGCATGCGATTCCATTGCAGGATAGATATGTTTAGAGGATTTCTCCTAGGCAGGAACAAGAGCTGGAAACGGGCTATAACAGCTCGTCACAGGACTTAGCAGCTGCTCTTTCATTAAGCTGCCTGCTGCATATATCCCAGCACAGCTATAATTTAAGATGCACTAGCAAACATCGAGAGGTCGTGCCAGGATCTGTATAAATCACAAAACATTATAGAATTCATGCTCTAAGAGGAGTAATTTTTTATCCTCTGTGCTTTCCTGAGCTACTCGAAGTGAAATTTTTACAGGAACTTGCTATAACCTAATTTCAGGTGCATTTACACAAATTCAGAAGAAACATCCCAGAAACAACAGAGGATCTTTACACTGCCACCACCATTGCATACACCAGAACATAGCCCTCTGAAGAACATCCTGAGGCCAGACATGGGGAATGCTTAAAAGATTCAACACAACCCAACTGTTTCAGGCAGGAGTTTCTCCTGCACGCTGTAAACAATAAACTAAAGGCAACTTCCTTAAAAGTTTGCTGGAAAGCCATTTATGTCATCATTGCAGGCATTTCCCCCAATGTTTTCATCTTTGTTGTTTCAATCTTTGATAGTGCGGGAAGGAAATCAGACAACTTGTGGATATTGCTGCTACCCTTCAGTTCTACTGATAATGGTTGTGGAAACATACACACAAGAATAACTTCCTGAATGAAACAATATTTAGCACGTATAGAAGCTTTTGTTCTTGTTGTCTAGAGAATACATAGTTTTGCACACTTATGGTGACTTTTAAATGCCCACAAGGAATACCACTAGAACATATTAATATTCTCTTTGAGAAGAAAAAAGCAGTCAAATCAAGTGTTGGGTTCCCCTCCCTCCCCCAAGCAGAAAGGACAAATAGATACACACTAGCTTCATTTTACTTAAGCCAGTTGTGTCATACAGGAAGCGTTACTCATTCTAAATTTGATGTTGAATTATTTTTCAACAACCAAGATGAACACTGGACATAACTTCTCTCTTTTTTGCTTCATAATCTTGGATAGATTGTTCAAGACAAGAAGCTGGCACGTCTGCCAGCTGAAACACATTCATTTGCAGAAGTGAAAATACAAGGCTTTTATTTTCCTGCACTCCAAATTAAAGAAATTCTGAGTGATCTGGTTGAACACAAGCATTAAAAGAAGTTCCTGAAGAGTATAGTCATAAAAATAAGAGTTTGCTTTGATTGTTGTTGTTGTTTTATTTTGCTTTAAAGTAAGATATGTTTCCTTAAGTGACTTACATTCTTATAAGATAACAATAACTTGAGAAATAAAAATAGCCACACTGCCAAAAATAGCAGATACCTACTATGGTGGATAACAAGGAAAGAGAGCAAAAATAAACCAAAATGATGGATAAAAAAAGGGCAAATCAAATCAGTTTTTTACAACTTCTTATGCTTACCTGTTTCTTTAATCATAAATGTTAAAAAACAACAAGGACATCACTGCTATTCATTTCAGGTCTTCAGAATAGAGGCAAGGAAACAAAGTGGGCCAGAGGAAGTAAATTAAGTAAGAACAACAAGATAACAGGTGTTTCTTATTTTTGTTCATGGTAGGTGAGTAGTAGGCTCGTCATTTCCTGAGACAAAATTCAGACAGAGATTTCTAAGAAATCAGGGGCTTTGTAACTTTATTAAGCTTAACCTTTCCTTTCTCTGTGCTGGAATATGAAGAATTATTGGTTATTCATACTACACTACCTAATTAGCAGTTTGGAGCTTTAGGATACATGGCAATGAGCTCACACAACTTACTGCAAAGTGCTCTCTAATTTTGAACCTGTGCAAAATTGGCCTGGTACTGGTGTTTCATAATGGGTTAAAGACAGCAACATCTTTTCAGGCCACTGTGTAATGTAGTTATCCAGCTCATCTGAACTGGGTTGAGTCTGACAATGAATGGAAACAAAGCATATAGTCTGATGCAATAAACAATGCAGTACATGGAGCTGGTGACACCTCTCTGTCCTGGGTCAAGTCTGTGTCTCTTTGCTCACTTTCTACTGCATAAACAGATGCCAGAAAGGTGACTCTCTGTGTGTCAACCTCACACATGAAAGCTGCTGAGACAGTGAGATCACAGAGACTTTGCTTGGGTGTCATCCTGGAAAAACAGAAATAATGAATCGAAGGTGTCAGGACTTTCAAGTGAGTAAAGAGCCAATCCCATGAGCTCAGTGGCCTCTGCTGACTAGCACTGATGAGTCCTCAAAATTTGATTTCGCAGCAGCTCAGCAAAGGAAAGATGCTGTGCTACTGGTCCCATGGGCTCAGCAGGTTCTCATAAGGATGTCATGATAGCAGAAGTTCTTACCTTCAACCCACTACACTGCTATTTTTGCCTCAACAGCAGCTCAGGAAATTAAGCTGTGTTAGAGAAGTGGTAGCATCATCTGGAAGACCTGGGGCACAGGAACAACGCAGCCACCTCACCTTGTCAAACACTGCACACAAGCTGGCAGAGGCAGGAGGGAAGTACTTCTTACAGCATTTTGAATCACAGGTGCCTCCTTTTCTTCCAGGACTGACCCCCGGAAGACCTCTTCACTCCCTGCTAGGCCTTACAGGAAAGAGTGCTTGTTGCCACCTCATTGCTGCCACTGCATACAGCGAAGGCAGAACCTCTGTGCCCCTGGGGACAGCGCGGAGGGCGGAAGGCTGAGCCCAGGGAAGGAAGGAGTGGGTGGACTGAAGAAGGCACAAATATGTCTGACTTTCCTCCCACCTTCTAGTGGGGCGTACTGGGGAAATTGGTTTGTTTGCCCACTGTTTACTCTTCCTGAAGCAGAAGGAGAAATTAAAGCCTGTAGCTGAAATAGTCACTGGACAAAGCCAAGGATTATTGTGCCTTAAAGGCACTGGTGGGTAAATGCTGACAACAAGGAGCAGAGACATGTGGCAACTGAAGTTCTTAAAACACGTTGTGTCCTCAGCGTTGGGACATCTTGGCAGAATATAAGATGTCAGGATTAGAACTGTTTTTTTGTTTGTTTTATAAAGGAAAGGGATCATCATGCCTGTGACATAAAAAGTATTGTTTTCAACCTCCTAAGCAGCTTATTTTCCACGTACTTCCTCTACCAAAAGTCAGTCACTAAAGCTGAATGCCCATCTTACTCGCAATGTTGCAAACACTGGCTCCCATGGGAGCAACCATACAAAAAGGAAGGATAAGCAGGATACATTTTCCGTGTCACTGGTCTGACTGTCCTTATAGTTCTGGACAAAATTCAGACCTGATCTGAAGATCTGCAATTCATTTTATTTTGGCAACCATAAGGCGTGCTTCCTAAACACACACCCATTTCTTATTTCTAAGAGAGTTGCCACACTGGGGCTGTCACATGGCTAATTCAGTAATTAGCCAGCATTTTTTCAATTAATCTAGTAGTAAATCCTTCATCTTCCAGAGCAGGTCAGTGATTGGGCACAGGACATCAGAGTAGCACTTCTTATTCATATTGCAATCAGCTTTTCATTACCATTTTACCAATTCTGATAAAACTAGTCAAGCTTTCTGCAAGCAGTTTGACAAAACAAAAGATGCTACAGGGGAAATGGAAACCCCCTAGCCATAGTGCTTCAGCTCCCTCAGCAGTGGAGCAGCAGTTAGATAATTTTGAGCCACTTAGTCAATTTATTTTTGTACCATCAAAACCTGGTTTACAGTCTGGAACTTATCTACTATAATACAGCCAAATGAATTTATGATCAACCTATTATAAAATGATGAAAAACAAAGGTTTTAAGGAAATGACAACTGACTCCTCTCCATAGCAGCACAGTGCTACAAGAGACAGCTGTAATGGCACAAATGGGTGGTTTATCAGCCTTCTGCCAGCACTGACAAAATCATGTCAAATGAGGCATTAAAGCCCTGCTTTTGGAAACTGTGATAAATACCAACTAATCTACTGACATAATATCTATTGAGTCAAATATTTAGTTTTGCATTAAATCTAAATCCAACATTAGAGCATTTCCTTTTGATTAAAAAGGATAAAATGTAGATGTTATTTTATGCTCCAGTTCCCATGTCTAATTAATGCTCTGCATTCGGAGCCATTTCTGACATTGCAAATGTATCAGCAAACATGCCAAGGAAAGGGGGGAGGCACAAGGGAAACAAGTGCAAAATCTATATGCTTAATTCATATTTCTCCATTTGCAGTAGCTAACATGTTATTGCAGAGACTATTTGCAGACACTTGCCCTGCCAGTGAACAGCTAACTTCCCTGATTGCTTGTATAAACAGTTTTCTAGATGTGGAGACAGACACTGTAGGAGAGCACATTGTTAATTTAATTTTAGTAGCATTGGGAATTAAACGTGGGACATCAATAGATTCACAGTAAACATTGTCTAAGCAATATAAGCATTGTACAAAAGTACTAACAAGAGCTTTAATATTTATAAGAGATCATATTAAAAGGTTTGCAAGAAAGATTATTGTCCTGGGAGTGAGATGTATATAATTAGAGAAAAGGTTGCTGCCAAGATGACATAAAACACTTCACTGTTTTTGTATCATATATTACTGACCTTAATGGGCATGAGGAAATCCTGATTTTAAATTTATGTAAATTTATAGGGTATTTACTACCTACTCACACCTAGAAATAGAAGGTGGTATATCCTCAAGAATCACTGAGATATCTCCATTCCTCATGAGTTATATTCACAGCATTACATTTGAACTGATTGTTGTGAAGAAACAATTTGTTAATTAGTTTTGTTATCAAATACTTTTACTGTCACACTCTTGTTGCAGTTTGACAAACTCTTCATCATAGTTACTCCCTTTCTAGAGAACGTTTTAGAGAGCTTAAGGGCAAGGAGGTTGTGGCGAAATGGGGGTCAGATAACAGCAGTAGAACGAGAGATTATGTCCTTACGTTGCATCAGGGGAGGTTCAGATTGGATATTAGGAAACATTTTTTCTCAGAAAGAGAGTGGCAGTGCACTGAAACACACTGCCTAGGAAGGTGGTGGGATCCCTGGAGGTGTTCGAGAAAAAGGTAGATGTGGCACTGATGGCCATGATCAGTGGGCATGGTGAGGGGAGGGATTGATGGCTGGACGTGGTGATCTTAGAGGTCCTTTCCAACCTTAATGCTTCTATTCTATTCTGTAAAGTCCAAGATGTGTAAGGCAGCGTGAGCTCAAATGAAACAAAACAAAGTAAGCAGCCACCCACCACCTTCATTTTGCATAATGTGTTGATTTATTGAATCAAGAAAAAGTCTCCATAGGCTGACAACCCCAGCTAACTCTGCCACAAAAATCAGTAGTAGATACATCCCAGGGCATCTGGTATATCTCAGAGTACTGGAGAATCAGCAACTCATGCTATAAAATAACAGGAGAAAGAAATAAAATACAAAACTTAACAGAGCTTGAAAACATGGACTTCAGAATTAAATATTTTTTATATTCCAGAAAATAACACCCTGACTCTGCACCTTCTCCCCTCACCAAACTTCTCTACAAAGGATTCTTTTAAAGGCACAGCCATGTATCAAAACATACCCATCAGGTTCAGGCTGGAAAATATTTCAGAAGCTGTATTAACTTCACTGCCCATGAACACCTTGCAATATACTCACAGACAGCAGAGGCAGCCCCTGCCACTCATGGGTCCTTTGGGGAGGGCGGCTGCACACACAAGTGATATTCGGATACGACTCACTCTTTTGGTGAGTAGTTGCTTTTATTCTGTTTCCTCAGTACCTTATCTCAAAACCACAAAGAGTTTAAGCAGAATCATAGTTTAGAAAAGCTCCGCATATGCTTGGCCCTGGGCACTTTCCTGAGCTGGCTGTTCACAGAGCTTCCCTGTTCAAGGCAAACAAACAGAAAAGCATATCCCAAATAATTTTGTAGTCTAAGAAACCTAAATCAACAATATGTTACTGATACACCCTTCACATTTTCTTTCATGCCATAGCTTTGTGCTATGTGTTTAAAATAACTGCCGGCACATACCATGATATGCAGGAAGATTCTCTGTGAATTGTGTAGGTCTTCTAGTTTATCCTGGGGGTTTGTGCAGAACACGGTTGCCAATTTGTATAATTGCAGAACACAGCACTGGTGGTTTCTTCTGCCTCACACTTTGCAATTCAACTGGGTATCTAAAAAAATAAGTAACAGGCATACAGGTGTCTCAGGGCTACTGAGACATGGGAACTTGGAGTTATTCTAGACAGCTCTTGGAAGATACCAATTCCATTTCCTAAGAAGTCTGAAGGCTTGTAAGGTCAGGGTACTGGCACCTCTCCTCATCAATGCGGTGTTCTTTTGTTAATTCTTAATTCTTCATAAAATAACAGTCATTTCTGACTACAGATAGACTGTAAGTGACACATGAATTGGCACAGAACCAAAACTATATGGCAGTGGGAATATTCAAAACACTTGAGAAGTCCAAGTCTCACTGTACTTGTTCTAAAGTAGTTATCAGCTTCTAACATCTATCATTGTCCTTTTGTGGAG